AGCAAAATAATAAATCTCAACAAACAAAATTACATGCTCTTTATTTCCCTGTTGTCAGCCCTTTGCCTGGCCATCACCAAGGAAGCAGCTCTGGTGCTTTCAGTGCAGATGGTAGCAGGTGATTGAAGTTACCACTGAGACGGAGCTGAGAGAAGGTACTATGTGGCTATGTCTACATGAGCAAGTTGTGTGTCCTAAGAGGAGCAGATTTTGTAGACTGGAACAGCTGATGCTTTTCAGCTTGTGGACTGGGCTCCCATTAGCAGTTTGAATGCAGCAGCTGTGTTCACAGAAAGCATTTTCTAGTTCAGTTACATTCAAAACCATTTCTTCATATGAACCCAATGCAGTGCAGTGAGCAAGCATGCTTCTCTTCCAAACCGCAACAGTGCCAAAGTCATAGCCTGCAGATTGCCTCCTCAGGTCCCGCTTATGCTATCTAAGGAATATTTTATCAGCTCCTGGGTGGTTTTGCAGATGGCTGAGATCACTCACAGCCAAGGCTTCCTTTCAAAGGGCTGGTCCCATCTCCAGCCTGGAGTCGTGGCCCCTTTCTTTTGTCTGTGCAGCTTTGGCCAAGTGGTAAGCTGGACCACTTCTTAAAAAGAGGGTGAATTTTCCGGTGTGTTAGTTCATTGCTCCAGGTGAACGTGCACCCACGTGAGAAAGACTTAAGAAGGTACAAAGTGGTAGCATAAAGTGGAGAGCATCTGGGGAGGGTGGAACTGTTGTTTTTTGGTTTTTTTTTGTCAGTGATTGAGGCTTAAATTGTCTTCAATTACTTGAGAGACTATTCCCTAAGTAGACATCTACATGATAGCTCCTAAGACACATAGAAATGCCAGGTAGGTATTTTTATTGCTGATTTTATTCAGTAAGCACTAGGTATGAAATAATTACAAAACCAAGTAGAAATCTCAGGTTTCACATGCTATTTGGACTGTTTCATCTTTCCCTGAACTCTCCAGACACACAGAATGAAAGGAATATGTAACTTGAACAAACTTTTTAAAGGACATTTTTGATCTCCATCATGTCATTAGTAAAAAATATATTTCTTGAGCAGTACTTCTCTTCCTCTTTTCTATTACTCTTCTTTTTTTTTTTGCCAGCCATGGTAATTTACAATCACAGAGGGTCTGAACAGGGTGCTTTCTAGGAATACTGCAAATTCTCATCATTAGACTCCAAATAACAACATGTTGATTTGGAAATACTACTTCTCACACCTTTTGGCATATAATGAAGGCAGTTATAAATTTTCTTTCTGTTCAGTCAGCCTATGGTGTGATAGATGAATTACATCTCCTGGACTATCATGACTGTTAAATTCTAGCAAGCCTGAGAGGGCCTTCCTATGGCTCCTTAGTTGTTTCTAATGCCTGAAATATGAAATACCTTTTGCAGTGAAAGTCTGCACTGTTGATTCAAAGACTGAATTTCTTTAAATGATGAGGAAAAGTTTATTTAGTCTTTTTGCTTTGTTTGGTTTCTTAAATGTGGTAAAAGAAATCTGTCTGCAGAAAGACAGAGGCAATTCTAATCATATGAAAGACAGAAAATCTCAAATGGATTTCATCCCCTGGAGGAATATCTGGTGAACAATAGAAAACTCTGATATTATCATCCCAAAGCATTTTATTATTATTGTATGAGTTTGCACTATGTAGCCCTATTTATGTAACTGAAAACCTGGGAAAAATACTCTGTGAGCCAGGAAAATATTGCTAAGTGAGAGTCCACTGTTTGGCTCATTTTCATTTTCTCCTTCTGTCTCCAAGAGTAGTTACTTAAATATGCTAAAAAGCAGGAGAAAATACAGTTAAATACAACAATAATGTGCTAAATACAACAATAATGTGCTGTGATTTAAGAAAAAAGATGGAAGAAAATCAGTATTACGATATCTTTGCAAATTCCTCTGCATTAAGCACTTTGCTGTTTTAGTGAAAATACTATAATAAATGTGATTATCAACAATTTGGAAATTCAGTATCTCAGATGTTTTAACAACACAGCTTGCATGGGTAATGTGAACAATTTGTAGCTTCTCTGTGGATAGGAGTAACAAAAAGCCATTTCCTGGAAATATTGCATCTGATCTTAATGCAAAATCAAACCTGACTACATGAAAAAGCAACTCAAGGACACGGCAGTTTCCCAAACCCACGGTGCTGCCGTCCGTGCCAGCAGCAGCACCCTGGGGTGAGCAGGGGGCACCAGTTCGGGCTGGCAACAGCAGCTTTCAACAGGCAACAGGCCCACCTCGGTGTGAGCCCCAGCTCCCACCCCAGCGCCACGCTGCCGACGGGGTGTGCTCCCAAATCGCTTTGCAGTGACCTGCAGGAAGGCCGGTTGTCATACATGGCATGGTCTAATTTACTGTAAATTGATTGCAAACTAAGCTAAAAAGGTGGTTTGGGGTCAGGATTTAGTTTATGTTTTGCTATACAGCACGGTATAAGAGAGAGCTTTATGTTAGAAAATATTTTCATGACACACCAAGGAAAAGCTTTTCCTTTAATTTAGAGGCTTTTCATGTGAATTGCCCTCAGGTGAACGGACCTTGTACGTTCATGATTTTATCGTGAAAAATTCTGAATCTTGCATGATTTTAACTAAATCTTAAACTCTCACTTCAAGTTATGCTGGAGCAAATAGCTGTGAAAAACATCACTTCTGTAACTCTACAGAAGCTTGAATTGAGCAAAAACGCAAATGTGCCCTTGAATCCTGCAGGGAGCTGGGAGTCCATCCTGCAAACTTTCAAGGATATAGTGTAACCTGTAACTAACTTAGAGGGGAAAAGACATGTTTCATATTAAAATAACTGCAAATGAAAGTGCTCGATTCAACTTCTGACTGCAGCAGTTGCAATTCTACATTGTTTTCCCTCTGTCTTAAACCTACACAATAACACAAATGTTTTTAACAGGTGAAAAAAATCTTTTGAATAAACTTCCTTAGCAGCAGCTCAGTTCAGCAGAAAACTGGATAAAGGAATCACAGAACTTGCAAATTCAGGAAGCTTCCAGCCCAAGGGAGTGAAAAAGCACTCTTGGCAGCAACAAGGAAACAGCAGAGGGGGTAGAGGCTAAGCACTTCTGAGTCCAAATTTTACAGTTGTGTTCTGGTTTTTTACAGTTGAAACAGTGAATGTGTTTTTCTGTTTCAGTGATGCTTTTGTTCTGGTCTACTCAAGACACTTTCTTACTATTTGTTCTCTTTTTTTATTCCCTCTAACTAGGCCTTTCCTGTACCAACCCATATTACACAATCTCACTTACGTTCACCTGCTGTTTCCTTTGATCCATCTCTTCCTCTCTAAAAAACCAGTATTTTCAGTTAAATGATTCAGATTGTTAAAGCATGGATTCATAGCTTCGTGTTACCCTTTTGCATTTCTGCCCACCATCTGTCCTACCTACCTGTACGCTGTCAGACTTTGAAAGCAAGATTTTGCACACACTTTGCCAAGCTTGGGAATGATGTTAAGTAATTAGCAATGATATAATCCTTCTACCGTGCCTTCTGCCTTGTAAATAACAGTCATGGGAAAACACCACCTCGTCTTAGAAAAGCACAGCCCACAAGATGGCAGAGGTACAGGAAACTAGCGTGACAGAAGCAGTCTTTTAGATAGTGGCATACTGGGAGAGAATGTCACGAGAGAGAAAAATTCTAAGGACTGAATTCCTAATATTGGGTAAGAAGAAAATGTGCACAAAATCTTTTCATACACAGAAGATAAATTTTGAACACAGAAACGTAGGTTTGGAACACAGAGCTGCTCTTAATTTAAAAAGACCAAAACATTTAGAATAAAAATTATCAACTTCTCACTCTGTAATGGCTACTGAAGATTGCTAATAGCTGTGGAAATTTGAATCTTTGCCAGTCAAAGTAATTTTTAATTTCAAGTCATGTGTGAACAGGATTGGGACTTCTTCTGATCCACTTCAATCTACCAGACGTAATTCGTGTACTGTTTGGAAGTAATGGATTAAAAGAAATGGGGAAGAAGCACTGTTCTTCCAAAGTGCCCATGTGGACATCACACTTTAAAGTATCTGTGAAAACACTCCTTTGGAATAGCTTGGAGGAATTTCCAAACGGGGATAAGCCATAAATATTTGCAGAATGTTGGCCTTCACCTTGTTATAAAAATCCAGCAAAGCAAAAATACACTTTTCTGCAATATTTAGTAGCTTTTGGATAACATTCCCAGGACTCTTTCCTGAAAAACAGTGAGTTGTACGGCCTATTAGATTTTTTTTCTCTTTTTCAACCATACATTGAATTAGTAAGTAGTTTTTCACTCACAGAGGAGGTTGCTGACCCAACTGATATAGATGAATGAGTTAACATTAATTTCCAAATTACTGAATTTATTAGGGAAGATAATAATTTTTCTGAGTTTATTTGCTGTTCATTTAGGATGTATTAATTCTGTATTATCAACCATAAAAATAACCTAATCTTCCTTTTTTTTTTTTTTAAAGGTTCTTATACATGAAAATTTACCATGGAAATCAGTTGCTCACAAACAGTTCTTCTGGCAGAGAAATAACGAGGCTTGGCTTCTTCTGCCTTTGTAAATCATGCATCCGAAAAATAACGTGTGATAACATCTCTGCCTTTGACATTTGCATTTAGGAAGGAGTGATGTCATGTTTTAATTTTTTTCTCAGGATAAGCTCTCTCCTGTGGTCACCTGGCTTAGCTCAGTAAATCAAAAATACTTCCTGTTTCTGACAGGCCTGGCAAATCCTCAGAAATTGGCTAATGATTTCCAAACTTTGCTGCTGAAATCATGTTCTGTTACAGCCCTGTTAAGCCTTGACTTCCGAAGACATAAGGGCTATCTGGTGATGTTTACAAGCCCTGTCCGAAGGACTGTCCCTGACAGCGTGTTAAAGCCTAATCCTACTACAGCACCGCGTATGTGTAAAGAACATACTCAAAATCATCCTTGTCACTGAACATCACTGTTGTCTTCCTTTCATGCCACTCCCTTACTCAGGTTGCAAATGTAAAACCAGGGCTTTGTATAATAGAATGCTTTAATACACAAATCCTGAGATATTTTGCATGATTTTCATTTCATGCACACAGCTGAGCAGTGACAGGTCTGCCAGAGAAACCAATTTATGGTTTTGGGGTTTTTTTCCCC